GATCAACAATGACTCGAACACAAATCGCGTCTCAACGACCAAAGACTCCCGAAGAATGGTTCGCAATCGCCACATCAATCGAAGAAAGTTTGAAAGTGAGGAAAGATCGCTCTCAAAACCCCAGAACACCGATCGCACCAATCAACCATCTGGACACAGACAAAAACAACGACAGCAAAAAGTCTCCGATAAAGGATCCGAAAGATCCAAAGAAGTTTGACAACAAGCCACCGCCTGGCCCATGCCCAGTCTGCAAATTGTTTGGCAAGAAAGAGATGCACTGGAAATCCGTGTGTCCAAAGTGGGCCGAAATCTCAGGCACAGGTGGTGCGCCGAAACCTTCAACAACTGATGCTCCGCCAATGGCTGGCATCAATTGCCTTCAACCGATCAAAAAAGTTGATGCGCCGAAACCCTCAACAAAAGACATCGCTTCTTCCGCGAGCGTCCATTGCCTTCAACCAATCGAAAGAGTTGAAGCGCCGATTCATTCACCAATGAACTCAATCATTCAATCAACAGATGCACCAAAAACAGTTGGCCTTCATCACATCAAGCATGAAGAGGATCCGCTGGATCTCATTTGGTTCACCACACATGTCAATGGCAGACAAGCGAAGGCATTCCTTGACTCTGGCTCCACAATCAGCGCCATTTCCAAATCGGCCGCTGATAGGATGGGCTTGCAGTGGGATACCCAGCGTTCAATTGCCATCAGACATGTGGACGGCACCGGCCGTACCATCGGACTCGTTGAAGCAATCATTGAATTGCAAAACAAGTCATTTCACTTCGCCATTCATGTGTTGGAAAATCTGGAGCACGACATGCTCATTGGTCTCGACTTGGCCAAAGCCGCTTCTCTGGTAGTCAACTTCGACACAATGATTCAACACAAAACGTTTTCTCTTCACAAACTCAAGGCACCAACACCAGCACCGAGAATTTCCAGACAATCAATCAAAAACATTGTCGACACAACGGAAGTCATCTCTCAATCAAATGTTGGATCTGTCAAAGAGATTGAACAAGAGATTCAAATCACAAAAAGTTTCATTCATCCGACTCACCAACAGATCTCACAAATCACCGACAACTCATCAAAAACACCATTTGATTGTCCAACAATTCCGTTTGAAACTCCAGTCCAACCAATCATCGAGTGCACTGGCTTCACACCGAAATTCTTGCACTTCGGGTTTTCATCAGCCCTTCCAACTGACGACACACTCGAAGAGGCCAGAAATCAGGCGATATTGAAGTCCAGAGCTCTGCAAATCAAAAGACATGAGAAAAATGAAAAACAAATGAACAAACAAACCTTTGAAATTTCAGATCAACAAAGAGTTGGCACAGAACTGTCACCACATTCATCGACATCTTGTGTTGTCCTGGAAAAACTCGTAGATGAAAGTCAGCGATTGGATCACATCGACATCAACACTGATGTTGTTGCGCGTTCATTCACAACACATTCATCAAGAGTGGCTCCATACATCTCCCGCGATGACAACATTTTGATCAACAATCATCCGATTCACTTATCAGACGCCAACACTTCCACCACATCCTCAACAAAATTGACATCTCATGCAAACACATCAACAACAAAGTCAACAGATGTTGATTCAAAACAAAAACAGGAAAAATGTGATTCATTTTCAAAAATGGTGATCACATGTCAAACAAGCGCATCATTTGAAAATAATTTGGATCAATCAAAGAACCGAAAATACGCCAAAAGCTAGCGGCCGGCGGATGTGACCCTAGATGGCCCACAGATCACACACACACACTCACAACAGATTTCAACCAACCCTTCTCTCTCATTGGACGACACTTCCACGCTCTCTCTCTCACAACAGCTCTCTGATCAATCACTCTTCAATCACCACTTCTATCCTCTCTTGCATTCACTCACTGTTTTCTTGACATTCAATCCTTCACTTGAATTTCAATCAATCACTTGACAAAAACTGAAACAAATCAATCAATCATTTTTTTAACCAATTATTTTAAATTTGTATTTTTTTAAACAATAAATTGTTTTACCGATCAATTGGTTGTGTCCACTCATTCATTATCTCATCCACGGTCACAAATTTATGTAATTTCTCTCTCTCTCTCTCTCTCTCTCTCTCTCTCTCTCTCTCTCTCTCTCTCTCTCTCTCTCTCTCTCTCTCTCACTTATTAAATATTAAATATACTATAATAAAAATTATTAAATCATATTTATAAATATTGAAATTTATTTAATATTGATTTGATTTTGTTTTTATTTTTAAATTTTTTTTTATTTACAAATTGAATCAATACTAATCAATATATTGATTGGCATATTGTTTGACTGATTCTTTTTATATATAAATTTTTTGTCGACACAAACACCACACACACACACAAACAACCGCTAATTTATCTAATAGTGATGTTTTCAATTAGAGATCTAGAGGTCGTTTATTGAACCGATCCACCAAATACTTGTCGTTCCGATACTTAAACTGATGGTGCGGCCAAAAATATGGCAATTGGCTAGTGGGCTGAACGATGGGCACAATTGGATCCGTCCAATAATCAGTACTAAACTCATAGTAGGCGCTCTGGACATTGCCAATGCTATTGATGTTAACAGTTGATTTGCGATAGAACTGTCCATCGACTCCCAGCCGATAGTTATTGCAATTCAATAGATCGTATTTGTGGACAAACGGATTGTCCACACACTCCCAATGGTATTCAGGTAATAGACAACTGTCTGAACCGTCCCGTAACTCTAGAAACAGTTTACCGTCTAGATCGGGTACGATATGATTATACCCAATAAGTGTACTATAGGTGCGCTTATCGTGCGGATAGTTTTTGAAGACATTCATCAGATTGCATTTGTATTCAACATCTTGCATGCCGTCTACTTGAACTTTGAAACCTATCCGTTGCGGCAAATAAAGCAGTTGGTATTGACCAGAATTGTCGACAACCTTGACTGGCGGATAGGCAGGCGGCGCGACTTTGTAGGCATTGGTAGTATTGGCCAAATTTATGTCAATAGGGTCTTGAAATCGCCGAAAGTTAAACTCTTTATGCCGTATAGAGTGTGTGTCCGCATTGAACTGATCGCCCAATAATTCAGTGTATGCCCGTCTAATGTCTTCATTTTGTCTGATAATATCTATCTGTATTTCCCGTCCTCCCGGATGTTCAGCACTGGTATTCAGTATAATCTTTTTCAACCACTGGTCATTAAGCGGTTGTTCAAAATCAGCCGGACCTCTGTATTGAGCTAAATCAGGCGTCTGGTGTGTGACAATCGCCCGATGCAACTGTTCGTATCGGTGTCGGTGCCAAATCTCTTGCATCCCTTCCTTCCAGTCTTCGACGGCCACAATATACCCGCCTTCGGGTACTTCCAGATTACATCGGCGGCCAAATGTAATCACTGTTCTTTGAGTGTTTGTGTACTGTGGATCAGAGCTGGGAACTTCGTTTAGTTGGTTGGCCAGTTTGTCGATCACCAGAGTCCAGACAATGGTATTATAGTCGGACTCATTGGCGCCCAAAAATATGACCGGATTTTCAAAATTCATGACTTTTGATTGCATGTCCGGATCAGTAATAAATTGTTTGGAAAACTGTGACCAATTCATTAGCTGATCCTTAACAACATGTTCGCCCTCTCTTCTATCGTATGGTATATGTATGGATAGTTGGTCTTCGACAATGCAGACTGATCCCTGTTCAAACAGATAGCGATTGTGATCATCTAACGACGTATTCAGATGATAGTTGTCCATTACTTGTAGTTTGGCACCGGTACACACATATAGGCCGAAACAACGATTAATATTTCCATACTGTGCCTGTAGTTGACAATTGTTCGGGTAATTGAGGACAATATTACGAAATATTGGTTGGGTTAGGTCGCAAATACCGGCAATACCGCTATTTATGACTTCGCTAGCGTATCGTTGGTACAGTCGATAATCACGGCGTCTGGTCGGCGATTCCATTAAATAGTTAGTTTTGTGATCCCATTCATTGTTAGTGGTTTGAACAAACTCGGTATCGCCTGGCTGGTCACGACCTAAACATACTACCGATACATCCCGGGGACCGAATCGTCTATAGGCTAAGCCCATTGTATAGACTTGACGTATCAGTTGTTTGGGTTTCGGTGTTTCACACCAATTGCCATACTTGACATCGTCGTCGATATCTGGTTCGTCTAATCGTTGACCGTCCGATCGCCGCCGCCATTGATACCATTCGTTTCTGATGGTCGGATATATAGCCGTCAGATTAGCCTCTTTGAACACTTGATAGGTATATTGTTGCGACCGATTGTTATCCGCCGTCGGATTATTGTACAAGAAAAACGTAGATAGATAGATGATAGATAGATAGATAGATAGATAGATAGATAGATAGATAGATAGATAGATAGATAGATAGATAGATAGATAGATAGATAGATAGATAGATAGATAGATAGATAGATAGATAGATAGATAGATAGATAGATAGATAGATAGATAGATAGATAGATAGATAGATAGATAGATAGATAGATAGATAGATAGATAGATAGATAGATAGATAGATAGATAGATAGATAGATAGATAGATAGATAGATAGATAGATAGATAGATAGATAGATAGATAGATAGATAGATAGATAGATAGATAGATAGATAGATAGATAGATAGATAGATAGATAGATAGATAGATAGATAGATAGATAGATAGATAGATAGATAGAGAGAGAGAGAGAGAGAGAGAGAATTTAATTATTTTAATTACAACTTGTAAAGTAAAAAAAAATCATATTATGTTTTATTAATTGATTTTATTTAAAAACACTGTATTTTTTATTTTTGATAAAAAATTACTGATTTTAGATGTTTACTGTATATATATCAGAGTCAAAATTAGTAAATTGAATGACCAGTGATTTTGATTGACATATACTACATATATATATATATATATATATATATATATATAAATAGTATATATAGACCATAATTGCCGTCAATTGAATCATCATTTTTGTCTACCTTTACCTCTCCCACGATCTCTGGATGGGTTTGAATCGTTACCTCTTCCACGACCTCGGGATCGGTTTGAGTCGGAACCTCTACCGCCACCTCTAGATTGCTGTCTATTGTCTCTCTTTTTTTTACTACTTTTCTGAAATACAAAGCCTTCATCATCATCTTCTTCTTGTGAACCAATAGGCGGTGGCGGAGAAAGAGGTTTTTGGCCAGCAGTTCGTTGATCGAGAAATTGTTGGCCATCAGGTTGACCAGCTTGACGGCTATGTCGGCTTTGGTAACCACTGGGACCGCCGCCATCTCGGCTCTGGTAACCACTGGGACCGCCGCCACCTGGGCTCTGGTAACCACTGGGACCGCCGTCATCTGGGCTCTGGTAACCACTGGGACCGCCGCCATCTCGGCTCTGGTAACCACTGGGACCGCCGCCATCTCGGCTCTGGTAACCACTGGGACCGCCGCCATCTCGGCTCTGGTAACCACTGGGACCGCCGCCATCTCGGCTCTGGTAACCACTGGGACCGCCGCCATCTCGGCTCTGGTAACCACTGGGACCGCCGCCATCTCGGCTCTGGTAACCACTGGGACCGCCGCCATCTCGGCTCTGGTAACCACTGGGACCGCCGCCATCTCGGCTCTGGTAACCACTGGGACCGCCGCCATCTCGGCTCTGGTAACCACTGGGACCTCCGCCATCTCGGCTCTGGAAACTCTTACCTCCAGCAACAGGTTGTGAGCCGCGGCTTCCATCTTGAGGACCACCAATTGGTTTACCATCATCATCAACAAGTTGTTCGTTTTGATCGCATATCTCACTATCGAAGTCTTTAGGTAAAAATGGACGACCGCTTACCAATTGAAGCAATTTCTGGTCGTCTATCTCTGGAAAACTAGGATCCGGATCCTGAAAATTGGTGTCTCCTGTTTTCGGTTCGATGTTTACGGCTATCGGCTGTCCGGACAGCCAGTCGACTAACTCATAGTAATCGCTTTGAACATAACTATAGATTGATCCGGTATTTTGTCTCTTATAAAAGTGTCCGTCAATTGCTAGCCGATAGTCTTCACGATTGCAGATCTGGTGTTTGTGGATAAACGGATTAACTATAGGTTCCCATTGGTATTCAGGTATCTTGAATTCTTGACTGCCTTTACGCAAAACAAACTTTAGTTGTCGTCTGTCTGTCGGCTGTATATGAGTTGAGCCCTTGATAGTTGAATAGGTGTCCGGATTGATGTCATATTTTTTGAATACAGTCAATAGATTCAAATCAATGGTATCGACTTTAGCTCCTGTATTACTGTCCAGTGTATCGAATTGTAGCCGTTGTGGCAAATAAAACAGTCGCTTGTTTTGACCGGTATGATCGGTTAGCTGTACTGGTGGATAGGCTGGCGGTGATGCTGTATAAGCATCGATACTCTTTTTTTTGGTCAGTTCTTTTGGTTCTGATAGTAGAAATTGGCGAAAGTTGAACTCTCGGGGACGTATAGAATGATCGACATTATCGGGCGGCTGACCATACAGTTCAGTGTAGGCATTATAGATATGACCTGATTGGCCAACAATATCGATTGGTATGCCTCTACCGTCCGGATGTTTTACGCTAGTATTGAGTATAATTTTATCCCTCCATTGCTTGTTGGCCGGTGCCAGGAAATCATGCGGACCTATGTAGTCGACCAATAATTCTGTTGTCGATACGATATCCTTTTGGTGTTTGACAATCGCCTGATGCAACTGTTCGTAACGATATCGGTGCCGAATTTCCAGTATACCGTCCGTCCAGTCCTCTACGGCAACAATATAGCCACCTTCGGGTACTTCCAGACTACATCGGCGCTCATATTTGTGCTCATGTGTATGTATTGATTGCTGTTGTTGCTGCTGCTGGTGCTTTTTGTGGTGCTTTTTGTGTGGCTTGCTTTTAGGTACCGGTATTGGTCGACAGCTTATGTTAGCTGTCTTATCGATAGACAAACGCCACGCACTTGTATTGTAATCGGATTCAATTGATCCCAAAAACACTACTGGATTCACACATGTCTTTAACTTTTCGTACATTTCAGTGGACATATACTGTCGGCAAAAGTCGTCCCAAGTGATGTCAATGGTAGATCGTGTCGGTATATCATCGGCACCCGTATAGTATGATAAACATATCCATAGTTTGTCTTCGACAATAACTACCGATCCCTGTTCACATAGGGAGCGATTGTGACGAAAATTTTCACTGAATTCATTGTAACTGTCTTCGACTACTAGTTTAGCACCGGCACATAAAAACAATGCAAAACAGTCACCAGTGATGGTGGAAGTGGTTTGTTGTTGTTGTTGCTTTTGGCCACCGGCTGCACCTTTGCCGCTACCACCACCACCACCACCACCACCACCACCGCCACCACTGCCGCCAACTGAACTCTTTGTTTTGATTGGGTCGTAAAGACTAGTAAACAAGTGTTCAGTTAGTTCGTAGACACCGCCGACATAGGTTTCTCTAATATCGCACAATAATCTAGTATACAATCTATGATCACACCGTCCATCAGCATCGTATGGATTCAGATAATTGTCTTGTCTTCTTATCTCTTTTATATCACCTTCTGGTCCATCACTGGTAAACAATAGAAACGAATTGTTTTTTAGGCCGAATCGTCTAAAAGCTAAGCCCATTGTAAATACTTGTCGGGTCAACGATTGGTTAGGAAATATGGTTTCTGTCCAGAGTCTCGACTGTCCCGGCAGCGGCTTCTTCCACCATTCGTTACGTATGGTCGGATAGAGTGCATTCAAATCGCTTCCGCCACATACACGATAAACATACTTGTGTTTTGATGACGACTTTGATGACGACCTACTTTTGCCATGTTTGGCTACTGGTGCTGGTTCTGGTGATCCTTTGTGATAGAAATAGATTCGCCTGGTCTTTATTGAGCCATCGCAGCCAATGTATACGTGTTGGCCCAGTTGTTTGCGGGCCGATTGGCTAAAATAGCGCACCTCAATCACTTCCGTATCTTTGGTATCTTTGGCATACTGAGTGATTGAATAGCCCGGATCCATACCCATCACTAGCATCGACGTTATCGACTGATAGAATCGTATGTTTGGCACATATTCATTGGCCGTATTTTTTGGTATCGGCTTTGAGTGGCCATTTGAATCAATATAAGTTGTCAGTTTACTGCTCGGATAGCTATAAATGGGTCGATAATAGTTGGCATAAAAGTGCCAATCGTTGGTTATGCCAACCGTTATGTTATCGACAAAACTGTAGACACATATTCTAAAATTGTACATTTTATTGCCATCATCATCAAGTTTTTTATTAAAAAAACGTTTGACATACAGTCCGAATACCCGATGATAGGCCGACTGTGTCCAGAAATCGTTGGTATCATCGATAATAAAATGTGTTTCCTTTATACGTATCATTGTTTCAGTTGATTTGTTAAAATAATTTAGACGCCAATCATCATTGGTAGTCACCATTTTGTGTGTGGTGGGGGGTGTCTGGTCGGATCGGATCGATAGGTGTGATGGTCAGTGGTTTGCTTAGTGGTCAATACACTCTCTGTGTATTCGTATTGATTGATAGTTGTTGTTGTTGTTTGCTATCTCTATGTGTGTTTGAAATGTTGTAATCAAATTAGGATCTGATTGAGTATGACTTAGTGTGTGTGTGTGTGTATTGTGTGATGATAGGTGTGGTGGTGGTGTTGGTGGTAATGGTATGCACTAGGAATGGTAGATGTTTGTGACTGTATGATAGATATTTCAAATTTGACGGTTGATTTTTAGACAATAATAGCGATTTAAATCAATTTATTTTTTAAAATTATTATTTTCAAATATTTTTTTATTATAGAAACTAAATATTTTAAATATTTAATTGTTATATATTGTTTGTATAATTTTTTTTAAAAATTATAGCTAAAAGTTTCAAAAATCAACCGTCAAATTAAAGTCAAACGATTTGTCTATCATTGCATACCATTCCTTAACCTTTTGAAAACATTGAACACAAACAACACACCACTTATTTAGTTAAAACCGATTAATTAGTTTTTAAAAAACATCAGTTAGAACTTCTAATCTTAAAACCTAATCTATCGATCGGTCCGATAGCCTACCGATCCCAACACACACACACACAAATACAGACATACATTTCATCCGACTCTGTGGTTTCGTTATACAAATTATCAGATCATAATATGACCGACCAGTGGCTATCAGTGTATTTCAATAGAAATAAAGAGACAAACATCTATGTCCGCGAAACCTATTTTGTTGCCGACACCGCCAACAACAATAAAGCCATAAGCGATGTCGATGACGACCAGTCATATCAGGCCGGACTGATAGAACCGAACAAACGAAGTGACTTTTGGACTCAGTCGGCCTATCATCGGGTATTCGGTCTGTTTATTAGGCGTCGACGAGTTAAGAAAGTCGACGGTTCACAACATTACATTGAGTTCAGACTGTGCGCATTCAATCAATTAGACACCAAATTTGCAAACGATTGGCACAAGTATGCAATCTACTGGCCAGTGGTCAACTATCCGGCATTTATACCGCACATGTATTTCGATGACACTGGCGTCCAGCATCGCATGGATTGGGCTGATAGTCAAAAATTTCGGTTCTATCAGTCGATAACATCGCTGATGATAACGGGTTTGGTTAGGTTAGGCAATGCCAACAGTCCACTAACACGAAAACAAAAGGCCACTCAACGGAAGCTTATGTATGGCGAAGATAAGCTTGAAGTACTTGAACAACAATACTTCCGATACTCGGCTCGCAAACAACTGGGCGATCATGTGTTCATTCAAGAGGGCGGTTTAATAATATCGTGCTATACGTATTTCTATTTGAATCCAACCAACAACAGTGGACCGCGATATGTATGGAAAGTGGATCCGATAAGCAATTTGAATGCCATCTATCCGACCATCAGAAACGAATGGTACGAGAAGAGACCAAACACTACCAATCCAGTAGTACAATGGCGAGAAACTAATCCAATTACACTAACCAGACAAGTGTTTACAATGGGTCTGGCCTATAGACGATTCGGTCTAAACAATGGATCGATAATATGTTTAGCCCGAGACAATCAAACTGGTCAACTAGTGAAACCTTATCCAAATGAATGGAATGTTAGATATTATCAAAATGGACGGCTAAATGGACGGTCAGATCATAGGTTGTATACACGCAAAATAAATGAACTCTATAACCAATCGGTTGCCGGTGTCTACGATTTGACTGAAATATTATTTAATGAAATTTTTGACGAATATCTTTCGGGAACAACTGGTGGTCAACCAATACCTAATACCAGACGTTTTGCACTGTATATGTGCTCAGGTAGCAAACTGATAGTAATGGACAGCTATCAGTCTGATGTAGAACATGATGATCACAATCGTTGTCTATTTGAACAGGGATCGGTGGTTATTGTCGAAGACATACTTGAGATGACTGTGCCGTACAATCCAAGAGGACGAGGTAGTAGTAAAAATCCCAGAATACCAATATCATGGTTAGACTTTTGCAACAAATATATTCAAGATATCAAATTGAAGGATAAAATTAGAAACTATTTGAATCCAGTAGTGTTTATTGGGTCGCATGAATCCGATTATAATACCAGTGCCTGGCGTCTGATGATTGACAAATTCGGCAGAGTTCAGAGTTCAACATACAATGGTTCAACACAAAGATATGTTAACACTTATGAACGCCGATGCTATTTGATTGTACCCGAAGGCGCCTACATTATGGCCGTCGAAGACTGGCAGGACGGTATGGAAGAGATTCGTGTTCGTCATCGATACGAACAATTGCATCGATCGATTGTCAGACATCAGACACCAGATTTGATTGGATACATAGGTCCGACCGGTTATCAGTTACCGATTGAAGAGATTTGGCTTCAGAAGATTATATTTAATACCAGTGGCGGACAAAATCAAGTCGAACGGGACATACCTATCGATATTGTTGGACAAACAACAGAGATCAGAGAAGCCTATGAAGAACTATTGGGTCAACAGTTCAATGATAACAATAGGCACTTAATTCGACCAAAAGAGTTCAATTTCAGTCGATTCGTTGACGTGGATCCCAACCAACTGGCCAGAGATAGCCGTGTCTATAGTGTACCGCCGCCGGCATATCCACCGGTAAAGATTATCGATAAATTTGGTCAACAACGTCTCTATTATTTGCCGCAAAAATTAAGTTTCGATCCACTTATTGGTGTCGCTGGTGGTGGTCGTGGTGCCGGTCGTGGTGTCCGTCGTGATGCCGATCCTGGTGTCAATCCTGATGGCGCTTTTAAAGCCAATTTGTTGACAGTATTCAAAAAGTATGTCATCGATCCGGTAACCTATTGTACAATTCCGGGCAATGATACTATCAAATCAACTAACACTGGAAAACATTATCTAAGGCTGAGTACCGGTACCGACATCTTCGATGAATACGAGTGGGAGTGTGTGGACAATCCGTTTGTCGACAAACATCGGCTATTGAATTGCGACGACTATCGGCTGGCTGTCGACGGACACTACTATCGAAAATCGCAATACAATCCTAATGTTATCGGCAAAGTCCGTAGCTATTACTATGATTTCATTGCCAAAGAGACCGATCAGCCGTTTAAGGCCAATATTCAGACCAATAGCGGAATATTTGCCGACAAAGACAATTCGTTTCGGATGAGAGATGACCAAGAATTGGCCGATCGGTTCCTCAAACGACCAATGCTTTCCAAACCATATTAATAAATACAGGTGTGTTGTATGTGTTGGTTGAGGTGTTTGTGGTGGTGTTTGTGTCGTACAAAATCAGTAATCAATTAAATGATTATTATTATTATTATTATCAAATTGTAGATCAAATTTCAAATTTTATAAAAAAAAAGAAATAAAGAAAAGAAACATTTTTTTTTGTACAAAAAAATTATAAATACTTTATTTATAAATAATTTGTGAAATAAAACAAACAGTCAAAAAAAATCAGTCAAATCAATCAAATGATTATTATTATTATTATTATTATCCAAATTGTAGATCAAATTTCAATTTAATAATAAATATATTATTCATAAATAATTTGGAGGAAAAAAATAATAAAACATACAATAAATCTGAAACTATTGATTGATAATTACACACAAAAAAAATTTAAAAAAAACAAATACTATAATTTATTTTATAAAGTAATAAACAACAAAAATAGTAATATATTTTTATATAAATTTAGCACAGATAGCTAACCTCCCAGTGCCTTAAGACTCACACAATATAGCAAAGTGTAATTACACAACACCTGCCTACCTGTCCCTAAAATCTACCAGTGCTTAATAAACATTTAAAATTTCCCATAGAAATAACATTGCTTTCAATAAAAATTGAAAATTTTAATACAGATTTAAAATTTTTGCATTTGAAAAAATTTTACAAAAAAATTAGCACAGGTAGCTAACCTCCCGGTGCCCTATGACTCATATAATATAGCAAAATGTAATTCTACAATACCTGCCTACCTGTCCATAAAACCTACCAGTGCTCAATAAACATTTTAAAATTTCCCATAGAAATAACATGGCTTTGAATAAAAATTGAAAATATAACAATACATTTTTAGATTTGTATTAAAATATGGTTGTTGATGAACAGGTGTCATACAAACATAAATACATAAATCCGGAGATTATTATCTTAAAGTGTTATCTTGATTATTATACTTTACGATGTTGTTTGAGGACAACGTCGACGACAACTTGCAATCCGTTGTGTCCATCGATAGCCAGTCCGATAGTCAATCGGCAATTCAATAGTCGATGTTTTTATCGATAAAAACGGATTGTCCACAGAATACCCCCACAACACTTGTTGAGGACCTATCTGTTGTATTGTGACCACAAATCACCAGTAGTTTAAAAAAAAAAATCAAAATCAAAAATACAGTCTTATTTTAATCGCTTTGTTTTTAGATTTGCAATTAATAATAATAATAATAAGAATAAAATGAAAAACAAATTTTCGTTGTTTTTAATAGATCTTATTTTTTTTAATATACACTTTATTTTTGATTTTTTTTTTTTTTTGATTCAATGTTACCATTAATAACAAATAAAAATAAGAGTTGATTTTTTTTTGGGTAGACATTTACATATAGACACACAAATTTCAATACACACACAATAATCTACTATTCAATTGATTGATCATTTAGGTCTACCACCACCTCCTTTACCTCCTTTGCCATCTTTTGCCACCACCGCCTGTATCTCGGGAACGGTATCCACTGGAACCACCACCATCTCCACGATGATACCCACTGGTACTGCCACCATCACCAGTAGGATACCCACTGGTACCGCCGGTATCTGCAGATGAGATATTTTTTCCACCCCCGCCACCACTTCTAGATTTGCCGCTTTGTTTAGGATATGCATTTGGAAGAAACGGATTAGTTTTATCCAAATTAGCCAATTGAATGTCATCTATCTCTTGAAAACTATTGTCTGATAGTTGTCCAAAATTGGGACCATTGGGCACAATATCTATTGCCAGCGCATTACCGGTGTGTTTGTCGACCACTTCATAGTAAGCGCTTAAAACTTGACCAATAATTCTGTTGGGTTTTGTTTTCTGATAGAAGTGTCCATCAATTGCCAGCCGATAGTCATCGCAATTGAATATCTGGTGTTTGTTGACAAACGGATTCGGCAAACGCTTCCACTGATACTCGGGTAACAACAATCGTCTTTCACCGTCGCGTAACACT